ATTGTTGAAATCGGACTAAAATTGAGGCCGCTTTTCATATAACGGTAAATTTCAGATATGCTTGAAATTTCAATATTTCGAAATTTAAGGACGCTAATTTACTTAAAATGTATACACCCCGGCTTATCATGTAGCGGTAGCTTTCGGAAAGGTGGAAAACATATATTTAATACTTGCGCCGGGTATTTAATGTTCGGCTCCGCCCGAACTTAGACTTTCTTAATTGTTTTTATTTACATTTTTCGAATTTGGATTTTTGTTAGTTTGGTTTTTAACATGGTTCTTTTTTCTTATTACCAGCAAACATTTGGAGTCATAAATGAATCTTTAAGGAGTCCCATTTCGGAGCCTTTACGCTCATAATGAGCTCAGCGCGGAGCGGAAACTAGGTCTTTCAGCCCGCCGCACTCAAAAGTATTCTGAAGACTAGGCCTCGCCAGCTACAAAACCTGCTATTTTATATTATTATTATTATTATTATTATTATTACAAATTAATATGTATAATTAGTCTACTCTGTAATATATCACACATACTTAAATATCTAAATATTCTATTCTCATTTGTCTGTAAGAAAACATTTTCTGTAGAACAAATAAATAAATAAATAAATAAATTTAAGAGTCCGATATGAGGGTGTTTCCCTTCCTCCGAAGGTCGACTTATATCAGCTGAAATTCATACATCATACAGTCTCTCGGACTCTTATTGGCCTCCTATACGGCTCATTTTGGACTCTTTTAAAACAATTTTTGGCCTCATGTATGAATCATTTCAGACCTTTTCTAGGCTCTTATCGAGGCTCTAATCGCAGAAGCATTCAGCAAAAATTTCTTTCAAATAGCATGCATACATACTTACCTGTATATATACATTCCAAAATGCGTTTAACAGCAGCAGCTTTTTTTTTGTTTATTTTTTGTTTTCTAATTATTTTCAACTTCCGTATACATAAATAAATTTAGATATAAATTTCGACTCTTTTGGTTTGTTCCACAAGCTACTTGTAGAAATGCTCGAGCAAAGTTCAAACTATCAGCGTATATCAAATAAACTCTAAAACTTACTTGTGGAACGCGTATGTGTAAAAGCTGGGTTATGCAAAACTTAGACAAGTCAGACTTACCTAGAAACTTAGGGACGATTACTGAGCGTGTCACCTAATACCTTTTCTTTTTCTTTTGAATATCAGCACTTTTATTTGTACACGTAAACTTGTAAACGTTTATTTTTTTACACCAAAATGGATGCAAAATTACCGGTAAAATAAATGTATTTACGCGTATAAAATTTTGATTGTTTTTTTTTATTTTCTGTCTTTATTTGAAAGTTTGTTTTTCGATTGCCAGATGGATTACATTTATACAAAAAATTATATTTGTGTGACATATTTTTAGGTATTTTCAAGGCATAACAAGGTAGAAGTGATTTCGACATTTCTCTCTTTCGAACTGCGATTGTAATGTCAACTCTTAACCCTATACAATTCAAAATTTTAATTTCTTAATTTCAATTTTAAATTTTGAGCTGTGCGACTAATTTTAAATACATACATACAAAAATAAAATGAAAAGGAATTACGAGCGGTGCGCTCTGTGTGGAAAGAGCCAGGACAACAAATTGTGCGTTATTTTAAACCTGCTAATTGTCAAGTGAAGCGACAACGGTGGGCAAGTAGCTGCGGTGTTCCATTAGGAGACTCTTCGCGTGTGTGCGAACACCATTTTAGTGGCAGTGACTTTATTTGTTGCCCATCACAGCCGAATATTTCCAAGCGGACGCGTTTGTTCCCAGGTTCAGTACCTCTACTATACAATTCCCCAATGCTTGGGTTATCTGAAGTGTCGGCCGTTCCTGAGGTGTCTGTGGGGACGAAGTTAGCTGTTGATGCACAGATTCAAACTGAGTAAGCTGCCATAAACAAGCACGACCGGATCCACGAGTACATTAACATATACATATAAGCAAATACTCCGCGAACACCATGATACAATTTCGTTCCACTAAATTTACCGCTTTAGATCACCATTTACTGTTATAAATTCGACGTTCTGGTTCTTAACATCCCTTTTCCTTTTTTCATAATGCCATGTGAAAAGAGTCGTGTTTTTATTTTTCATACATAGCTGGATTTATCATACGGAAATTAAGCATTACTGAAAATGAAGAGAAAATCTCCCACTCATATACATGGATAGACCAAATGTCAAATGGTGGTATGATAAAACCTAAACCAGAAATCCTTGTGGACATAAAGAAACTGGAAGTAATTTTTAATAAATTTAATGGAAAAGAAATTTCGCATTGCAAAAATTTAATAGCTGAGCTATTGGAGTTAAGTTCCGATGTAAATTTAGAAGAAAGAATCAAAATTTTTTTTAAATGTCGAATATACTCTAGAATTAAGTATTTGAATAAAAAAATAAATGCTCAAAAACATTGGGCTAATAAAAAGAAAATTGCCAAAACGGTTTTATAAATAAATGTGTAATTTTGAGTAAGTAGATATGCATTTCCACATTTACATTAAACGAAAATACAAAAACTAAAATGAAGCCGATTTTAGTGTGATTTTAAATATTTTCATATTTACAAAAACTTTCATTTCATAGATATTGAATTTTATCAAATATGGTACATGCATAACAAAGGGTTAATTTCTTTGTTTACGTTTTTTGACATTACAGTCAGGTATGAGAGAGCTCGACTGAATTGTCACTTCTACCTTGTTGAATATGCCTTGGGTATTTTATTCAAAAATTTAATGGCAGCATGATTCTCTCACGGCTCTCTTCGTACTTAGAAATTTAAATTAGAAATCAAAAATCTATAGTTCTCCAAGTTTCTAAGTGAAGTTGATTTTTTGAGTAACTACCCAGCCAGCAAAAAATCCGAAAACCGATCCGAAAAAGGACAAAAAAGTAGAAGTGCGGATTTTTGTCCGTTTACTGATTTCATTTTCGGATGCTTTTACGATCCGTTTTCCCACTAAAGTGTGCGGAAGATACGTATATATGTATGTACAGACAACAGTATTTGAAACGGATACGTTTTCGGCTGTTTTTTCTGAAATTTCTCTGATTGAATTTTTCGTTCAATACGCTTTCCTTCTGCACTTCACATATACTTTTTCATGGGTCAAAAGAAATAAAATAAAATTAGGAAGCGCTTGACGAAATTCGGCACCTTCTGGAAGCTAACAAATAGCGGCACACTCCTCTGCACGCTCAGCCACTGCCAACTACGCATACATGCTTTTAAATGTTTAGCTTGAGCAAATAAAATACAATTATTGCTTTCAAATGACATCATCTTTTTCGGACGTTTCGAACGTTTTACGGATACGAAAATTGATGATAACTGTAGAAGTATTTTCTATTCGTTTTTGGAGACGGAAAATTGAACTAAACTGCACTGTCGGCAAAATTTACGTTTCTTTGCTGGCACGCGCTGACACGCGCTGCTCATTTGCCAGATATTTCAAGTGAAGTCAAGTCTACATAAGACTTGCATAACTGAGGTTTAACTCGAAGTGACTTCGAGTAGCTTGTGGAACAAACCTTTTTTTGTTTTGTATTGGCACAAGGTGCTAGCTCATAATTTGGATCATATAAATATGACTCCTAAAAGACTCATATAAGAGTCAACATTTTTTTATTTTTTAAATTCATATTCCTTACCCATCTAGGACTCCTTTCGAACTCATATATTCTGATTGCTCAGAATATGTTTGCGGGGTGTAGAAATTAACACGCTTTCCACAATGGAAATTTAAAATAAAA